CCCAAAACGCCGAACCCTCGCCCTACCATAAGGGTTTTGGGATTTGGGGTTTAGGGTTTAGGGTTTAGGGTTTAGGGTTTAGGGTTTAGGGCTTAGGGTTTAGGGCTTAGGGTTTAGGGTTGAGCGTTTAGGGTTTAGGGTTGAGGGTTTAGGGCTTAGGGTTTAGGGTTTAGGGTTTAGGGTTTAGGGTGTAGGGTTTAGGGAAGTGCCAGGCTCTTCTTAGGAGAGCTTCAGGGCTGTTGATTGGATTTGGGGCTCTTGGTGCTTGAGGGTTTAGGGTTTAGGGTTTAGGGTTGAGGGTTCAGAGCTACTTGGAGGTTCATGGGTAGTTCTAAGTGGGATAACTATACTTATAATATCATATAACCCATATTCGGGGACTTATAACCCCATTTATAACTACCCATGAACCTCCAAGTAATGGTTCAGAAACCCTAAACCCTAAACCTAAACCCTAAACCCTAAAACATGCTGAAGTTCAGGCACTCCGCATTTGTTGGGAGCCTGTCTCGGGCAGACGTAAAGGAGTCACCCCCCAACTGTAAAAAAGAATGCAAGAGCATGATACCCCAAAGTCTAAACCCCTAAACCCTAAACCCATAAACCCTAAACCCCAAACCTCTAATATCCTAAACCCTAAACCCTAAACCTCTAATATCCTAAACCCTAAACCCTAAACCCCTAAACCCTAAGCCCACGAAGCCCTGGTGAGCCCATACAGCTCCTACAGTCTAACACCTCGGCCGCATTAAGCCTAAACCTTGTTCAGCGCATGGTGCACTTCCGTTTCGCTTGGGCTTTCGATTCCTTTCAAGGGTCTGTTTAGACGCATGATAGTGTACACCAAGCCCTTTCCAGCTTGTGTTCTGTAAGTCTACTCTTCTGTACCCTTAACCTATAGGGTTATATTAGTACTCAGAAATCTGAACCCTAGACCCTAAACCCTAAACCCTAAACCCTAAACCCTAAACCCTAAACCCTAAACCCTAACTCATAAGCAAGCCTTGCCCTACTCAACGCGTCATGTGCGCCTTTTGGTTGGGACCCGATCGGCCCTCGGGTTGACATAAGCCATCGGCCCCACAAGGGGTAACCTAGGGTTTAGGGTTTAGGGTTTAGGGGTTTAGGGTTTAGGGTTTAGGGTTTAGGGTTTAGGGTTTACTTAGATAGCCAATGGGAGAACTTTAAACTTTTTGGCTTTATATATTCGGTCTATCCTAAAAAGTTTGAGCTTTTTGGGGCCTGGTTGTTGAAGAAGAGAGTATAAGGGTCCTTTAAACGGCTACGGGTTCTAGAAGGTTTGATGTTACAGGTTACTGCAAGGGTGACTATAAGGGTTCGATCAGGCTTCCACCCATGAGGCCGAGGTCTTATTTGTGGGTTTATAGGGTTTAGGGTTTAGGGTTTAGTATGTTTAGGGTCTAGGGTCTAGAGTCTAGGGTCTAGGGGTTAGGTTTTAGGGTTTAGGGTTTAGTAAGTTTAGGGTTTAGGGAATGCTTACGAACTCCGGGAGCTGCAAATCACGTTCAGTACCCGGTATAGTCCCTAAATTATTGAGACAAAAGCTCTGTTTTGTTTTAAGGGCTTAGGGTCCCTAAGATTAGAGCAGGGCTGGGGGGTTCATCGACTTTGGTGAAGCCTCCTCAGCCTATGCAGTCTGATTTATTGAGGCCGTCGTACAGCCCTAAGGGTCCAAGTACCCATTATTTAAGGACTTTGGGGCCCTTTTTGTTACTTCAAACCTTAAATAAGGACTACTATGACCCTTAGGGCAGTATTATAGCCCTACACCGCGAAACCACCTCTAATCGGACGGAGGCCAGCCACCCGTCAGAAAGTTTCTGGATGGGCTGAACGAGGAGCAGCGGGAACAGGCAGGCTGCCGGGAAGTCGGAGTTTGGATGGTTTGGAGTTTAGGGATCTTTACGTGTTGATAGAGGAGGTCATACAGAGTGTCTCTGTTGGCGAAGCGAGAAGTACCGAGTATTTGCTATGTAAGGGTCTTGTCAGTCAGAACCCTTTGGATATCGGTTGCAGTCACAGCGAACGAGGATTAGTATAAGTATACCCTGCACAGCCTAAACACTTAGTCCTTAGTGCCGTGGCAAAACTTGTGTAATGGATGCATGGGCAGATGGATCTAAACCCTAAACCCTAAACCCTAAGCCCTAAACCCTAAACCCTAAACCCTAAACTTTAAACTAAACAGGGGAGTGCCCCAAGTAGGGAAACGCTCCGAGTTTGCCAAGGCCTTGGCGGCCCTTCGCGGAGCGGCAGCGAAGCCGCTGGCCGAGGGCGCCCACTTGGCTCAGAAAGCAGTTTTAGACGTAAGTAGTCTTAATGCTTAATAGGGTTCCAATAAGGCTTCTATGAGAATTTCTAGAAGGTTTTAAATAGAGTGGCTTTAGTGCTTAGGATAGGGTTTTGGAGTATGCTTGATTCTACTATACTGATATAACAAGGAACCCTGAGGAATAATGTTGTTCATTGTTCAGGCCCCTAGTTTCGGAGCCCAGTTACCCCTGTAGTAGGGTCCTTGACCCAGTATATATATATATATATACATATATATATATATATAGGCAACTCGGCGTTATAGAGACAAACCCTAAACACTTAACCCTAAAACCCAAGTTGCTGTTACATTTGGTGGCGGTTTGGGAACTTCGAGTTCGGGTCTTGGGTGTAGACTTGGTGTTGTGGTTTAGGGGTTTGGGTTTGGGATTGGTAGGGTTTAGAGTCAGGGGATTCCGGTTTGTTGAGGTTGGACCCGACTGAAGATCCCCATCATCTACGTCGTTAAGGAGCTGTACGATAGGACTGCGAGGTTAAGCAGGTTCGAAGACCTTAGTCTTATTACTAGTAGTGTTATTATTCCCTAAGGGTCCAAGTACCCATTATTTGAGGACTTTGGGGCCTTTTTGGGTACATAAAGCCATAAATAAGGACTACTTGGACCCCTAGGGATTAATATTATATATATATATATATATGTAGGCCTTTATGCACCCTAAACCCTAAACCCTAAACCCTAAACCCTAAACCCTAAACCGAGCCTTTATACAACGGGTTCGAAAAATCTGTGCTTGTTGACAGAAGACTATGAAGTCGAGCTTGGTTTTAGATCGGATCCCATGGAGCTCGGTTGTTCGGCTGCTGGGGCTCATGAAAAGTATATTGATCTAAGTTTTAGGGTTTAGGGTTTAGGGTTTAGGGGTTTAGGGTTTAGGGGTTTGGGGGGTTGAGGGTTTACGTTTTAGGGCTTCAGGCATTGATTTGCTACAGTCGCTCAGCATCAGCAGCAGCTTCTACTTCTATGCTCCAGCAAGCTAGCACCAGTAATGCTATTGCCACCATCGGGTCTATGACTAGCCCTAAACCCGAAATCCGTAATCCCCGAACCTATGCCCAGGCAGTACAGATTGGCGTGGCTGTGGTTTCCGGTCGCGCTGGAAGCGCCCCGCGACATTGCAGCAAAGGGCCTTCGCCGCCTCATATAGGGAAACAATGGGAAACAGAATGGGGGATTTCCGAAAATAGGGGACCTGAATATAGTACCCTACATAATAGTAGGATCCTTAGAAGACCCCAAAATCAGGTACCCCTGATTTTCGGAAACTCCCAAATGGGCCTTGGTGAGTTTACTGAATAGAATAGAGCTTTGGGAATCCCAAAAGGGGGCCTGAATCGTTAGAATGGGGTTTCGGGAGTCCGAAAGAACAGTATCGATGAACAGCTATTCATTCTGAAAGACCCCGCCGGCCCAAATCCTAAACCCTAAACCCTAAACCCTAAACCCTAAACCCTAAACCCTAAACCCTAAACCCTAAACCAAAGCCTACAGCCTCAAATTCGCCCCCTCATCTTGAAACCGTGGCTTGCACCCTAAACCCTAAACCCAGACACCCCACGACTCCTTAATGAAGGGTTATGCCTTAAGTCATGGGTTTAGGGTTTGGGGTTTAGGGTTTAGGGTTGGTTTAGGGTTTAGGGTTTAGGGTTTAGGGATAAGAGGAAACCCTCATATGATGTAAAAAGTATATTCCTTAAACTGAAGGGTTTTGGAGTCTCTGGGAACCTTCGTTAAGCTGTGCGAAGTTGGGCACGTGAAGACCTTACTTGGAGGTTCATGGGTAGTTATAAATGGGGTTATAAGTAGGTTAACTATACTTTAACCCGTATTAAGGGGCTTATAACCCCACTCATAACTACCCATGAACCTCCAAGTAACATTTCTGTAACATCCGATCGACCTGCCAAACAGTTCGGGAATTTAAAGGAGTAGTCTTGATAATGAAATAAGTCAAGCCTTTGAGGTATCCCGTAAGACCGGGGGTCAGAACCTACTATTTTCGTCGGATCTAGCGGTTTCTATAGAAACAAAAGTCTCCATTCTAGTTCCTTTTGTTGGTTTAACAAAAAAATATATATATATATACACACACATATATCATATATGTATATATTAACGATTATATAAGGTATCCCCCAAAAAGGAACTACAATGGAGACCATAGGAACAGCCGGGGGCTCCCCCAGAAGTCTGTATGTAAACCCCAAGGAAGACCCCATGTAGCGGTTTAGGGTTTAGGGTTTAGGGTTTAGGGTTTAGGGATGCAAACGATGAACAACCCCTGAATGAGGCGCCTTATATAGGGGCCTATAAATGATTACCAATACTATTTTGGGTGGTTCCTTATCACAATTCTAGTATAAGGGGCCCCAAAACCCTCTTCTAATTATAAAGGCCCCTACATTCATTCGCCGATTCTCCCTACCAGTAACACTTCTCGAAACGCGCCACTGCCCCACTCCACTCAGGTGATGTGAAGCGTTTCTTCTTGTCACGTCCACGCTTCAGGCAATGATCCCTGACAGCGGAGAAAAGGATGTCATCCAGGCGTTTAAGCGTTGAGGTTTCTGCAGTTCTCTAACTTAGGATCCCATTTTTGGATGCCCAAAAGAGTACATCATCGAAGTCCGGCCTGAAACTTGGTTGCCTGATAAAGCCTGAATCTGAAACTTCATCCGAACATGAGGGTTTAAGCCGAGCATCCAGAATTCTGATGCAGAGGTGGAAGAAATAGTAATGTAGGGACTTAAATAATTACATATACTATTTTGCGGGTTCCTTATTATAATTATAGTATATAATCCTTATAATTCTAATTATTAAGGCCCCTATAGTAATGTTCCCATGAGGTCTTTTGTTGCATGCGACAGCTAGTATTCGGCAGACCCCTGGTCAGGGAGTCTGGCTCATACTCTGGTTTGATGCTTAGTGTTTGAGTTTTAGGGTTTAGTCTTTAGGGTTTAGGGTTTAGGTTATTCGTCTTGCCGACTCCAAATTAGATACTACGCGGGTTGCCTGACGTTAGGGGTTCCGTAGGGTTCAATGTTTTCCGGGTTGACGCGCTGCTGGCTCACGTGGCTTAGACAAGTTTCAAAAAACCTGGTCGCACGCCTCAATCACCGACCTCTCTCATAGTGTACAGTTTAGCCGTCAGAAAACCTTCCAGCTTTGCAGACTCAAGTATTCTATAAGTTCCAATCTCTGCGCAACGTGCAGAGAAATTGTTTATACCAACGGCCGCAACTCCACTATGGCTCCCCAGGCGCGGTGCATGCTCATGAATTTCTGATTAATCGTTCCAGTCGATTTGCCGTCAGACATGAAGTTGATAAATAAAGCGGTGAGTAGCGAAACTGAGATGATATTGCTGGACATCTGGTCTTTGACGGAAGCATCCATGCACAACACAACGCAAAGCCCGATTTTCGTTACTTTGCCGAATTCCTATGCCCCGTCAATTCGACCTCCGATGCGGGTGGAAGCATGGAGTTTGTATTTAGCAGCCAGAAGGTTTCTCCCCTCCCCACCTGAACCCTAAACCCTAAACCCTAAACCCTAAACCCTAAACCCTAAACCTAACTGCCACGGTCCTGTTGCAGGAGCTGAAAAGGACCGCCACTCTGGTGGTGGACCAGGCCTCTTCCACGTATAACCTCCTGTAAACTTGGGTACCTTAAGAGTAGCGGCTTCAATCTTGAACATCCCGGTAAACCCTCAACATCTCAGCGACCTAAACTTTGCCCTAAACCCTAAACCTTAAAAGCAAAACCCTAAACCCTATAAACCCTAAACCCTAAACCCTAAACCCTATAAACCCTAAGCCCTAAAAGCCCCTTTCTGGACCTCGACTCAACTCGGAGCGCATCAGCCTGTCTCAAGGAGTCCAGATCGTGAACCGTAAAGTCCAAAGCCATCAAATGCCCAAGCCCTTGGACCCTAATGGTCCTAACAGACTAATACAGTTTGGAGGTTAGGGTTATGGAGTTTTGACCTGCAGAGTGGGGGGGAGAGTTTGATGTGAGTTTGTCGCTGAATGCGTTTACAGTTCAGGGTTTACGTGTTCGGTCTAGGATTCAGGGCTTAGAGGCTTACGGGTGGTGAGAGTGTTGAATGCACTCAGGGATTAGAATTAGCTGACAAGGTATCTGCACGTCATGGCTCGTGACAAGAGAATTTGAACCTCAAACTCATGAGCCCCTACACCTCGAGTCTTCGCAGCAAACCCTAAACCCTAAACCCTAAACCCTAAACCCTAAACCCTAAACCCTAAACCCTAAACCCTAACACCGAACCGAAACCCTAAACCCTAAACCCCTAAGCCCTAAACCCCTAAACCCTAAACCGCCAGAATCCCTAAAATCTACAACCCGAGCCCGGAAGTTGCCACCTGCTACTTGGTGGGTTTAGGGCTTAGGGGTTAGGGGTTTAGGGTTTAGGGTTCTTCTTGTCGCGGTCTGGCTCAAGTTACTTTTGTCGTGCGTTTGGAAGTGTATCTTTACCTTGAGCTACCAAATTTCTACTTCTAGTAGAACCCCGCTACATTCCATATTCGGGGTTTTAATCAGAACATACAAGGTATACCTCATGCCGAATCCCCAAGCCAAGCGGGAAGAACAAGCCGGAACCCTAATACCCAGGGCAAATAATCCAAACTCTAACCCTAAACCCTAAACCCTAAACCCTAAACCCTAAACCCTAAACCCTAATACAGCTTTACCCGGGCCACAGCCCGAACGTAAACATCTCAGCACAAGGCCGCAAGAAGGCTCCCTAAACCCAAAATCTCGAATAGAAGCGTCTGACCCAAAGGGTCCTAAGTACCTATATGGTAGAATGTAGGGTTTCTATATTAGGAATTACCATTATGATTTGGGGAAGTATCCCCCATAACAGTACCTAGGACCCTTTGGGTGAATAAGTATGGTAAGATACAGTAAAAAAGTATGCACGTATCGCCCAAAAGAGTAGCTGCACAGCTATGCAGCATAATTCATAAACCGCAATCCCCTATTCTACCGATCAAGGGCCCTAAGGCCCTATCTTACACATCCCACATATAAAAGCCGATTCAAACCCTAAACCCTAAACCCTTTCGTTAGGCCCTATATGAAAGCGGATCACTGCCGGCAATGTCGGGCCTCATCTCTCTAGCCAAAAAACGCTCCGGAGTCTCCTCCGAAAACCTGGAGGAGGAGCGAGAGAGTTGACATTGGGCTTCTATACTAATTATTCAGGCCCCTATATTATAGAACCCTATTATAGATCCCTTATAGAGCCCTTTAAAGAACCCTTAAACGAACCCCCAAAAACCCAAGGACCCCCAAAATAGTGTTTGTATTTATTAGGGCCCCTACATTAGGTGTTAGGGGCCTGGGTTCTAGAATCTTTGGGCTGCAGGACTTGGGTTTGTGTTCAAAAAGGGTTTAGGGCTTAGGGTTTATAGGGTTTAGGGTTTAGGGGTTCAGGGGTTTTGGGGTTTAGGGTTCAGGGGTTTAGGGGTTTAGGGTTTTGGAGCTCAGGGTGTAGGGGTTTGGGGTTTAGGGCTTGGGTTGTTGGAAGCTTCGGCTTAGAGCTGAGAGCTTTGGACTTTATTGGTCTTTAGGGTTGAAGGCTTGAGGTTGAGAAGCTTTTGATTTTTGGTTTGGGTTTAGGGTTTAGGGTTTAGGGGTTTAGGGTTTGAAGTTAAGGGTTTCAATTTAGGGTCGTTGGGGCTTGGAGTTTAGGCTCAGGATCGCTGATGGAGGTCCCCATCCTTGCTGCACCCTGAATACCAAGCCACCAGTCCTCCTCAACCCTAAATCCTATAAACCCTTAGCCCTAAACCCTTATAGTGACCCTTATGTGTTCCTCTTCAAAAGAACCCTATTCTACTTGTTAAATCCTCTGTGGCAGCCCGGGGCGTAGCAAAAGGGGGGAGATTTTCCAGGGTCAAACAAGCGACGGTGTGGTCGATACTCTGGCCTCAGAAGGTGTTCCTGTATGATGACTTTGCGAACCGAATGTTTGCCAAAAAAAGTTGTTGTGCCCCTGAGGTCCACCATTTTAACTCGAGCTTCGATTCAGTGCAAATTCCGATAGATACAGCCAGGGCCAATATCCTGCTTTCAGCTTGGGTTTCCGCGATCACCACCTCGGGGTGCTGTGGGGGGGGGTGGGGGAGGCGGGTGTGATCTCCTGCGCAAACAGCTGCCACGTTCACGCTCGATGCTGATCGCTGTTTCCCCATGCTGAAGACAGGCCTTGGAGCGCTTCCCTGCATGAGCCATTTCTAGGGGCATTTCCGCGGAAAGGATTGACAATCTCAGGGTACACTGAGGAAGGCATCACTCACTGACTATACGTAAACTGCCAAAGTTGATCAGGAAGGACTTGCTGCATGACGAGCACAGTCTCAGGGGTGAAATCTCGCCTAATGATGAATTCTTGTACTCGTGGCATGCATAGTAACTAGGTATAGATATACTAGCACAAAAAGAAATAGTGCGAACTACGTCTATGTATGCACGCATGGATGTATGTCTGTATGTCTGTATGCAT